TGCCTCTGGGCAAGATCCGCTCAATTGCTCGCAGGTCCCCGAAATGCAAAATTACCAACAGCAGTAGCTCATAAGGTTCTGATGCTGCCATTCGAAGAACAAAGGCGTAATTGCACTGGACATGCTGCTGAGCACTTGACTGAGGAATCCGTGGGACGTTTGGAGCAAAAGTTCATCAATTATTTCAGCGATAAGGAAATCGACGGGTGGGATTTGCGACAGAAAATCACGGATTTGTTCTACGAGGACATGGTACCCAGTCCGAAGGTCGTGGAGTCTATCTTGGAAGCTTGTCGTCGGGTCAACGATTATGCCTTGACCATCAGGTCAGTGAACCTTATGCAGAAATCATACGTGTCTTTCAGGAAATACTTTCTTTCCAACGATTATTTACTCCTTTTAAACCTTATATCTAATTAATTTTTGCAATCGAAAATATAAACTTTTCTTCAGAATGGAATAACGGAAATTTTGAGACGCTTATTTGGGAGACTTGACTTCGTAAATCGCCAGTGAAGAATAGATTACAATTTGAACCTCGCAATTCGACAGTTAAATTTGCAGGGAGGTTGACTTGCAATTTGACTAGCTTTGGCCATATTTCCGCATTTCTGTACGTTTTTTGAATTTCATGGAGTGCTTTGCAATACGTAAGATTCGCAATTCGACCCTAGTTTGGCAACGGATTAGAGTCGAATTTTGCAAACACGATTTTTCCAGAATGGCCAGGTTTAAACAAATTTGTTTTTTTTTCCCCTGCAGATTTCTGGAGGCACTTCACGCCAAGACTGGCCAAGATGAGGCGATTTTTGAATGGCTGATGGCTCAAGTTAAGCCGACTATGGATAAGCTAGGGATTAGCACACTGAAGCAGTTGGGATATGACAAACCAGAGCTGTGGATGGAGGATAACGACGATCTATGAAAACACCTCTTAAACGCAATTAATCACCCAATTTTTCATCATGCCAATAATTTTTTGTCAATGTTTGAATTGTGCGACAATAAAGGAAGGGCTTATCCATTTATTTTGCAAGTTGGTTCTTTGGGGATTTACAAAGCTTTCAAGATTTTCTAATTGTCATTTGAATATTTGTGTATTTCAGTAGTTTTTTCACTACATTAGTACACAAGTAAAAATTATCTTCAACATTTAAATCTGGGGCGTACACTCGTATTGAAATGAAACCCATCAACCTCCGCGAAAATTTCTCGATTTCGAAATAATTTACGAAATGGCGTTAAATAATTCAAATCTTTGTACAGGAAAATTTTCTTAAAAGCTCTGACAGAAATATAACTTTTTATACCTATTTCAAATGGTTTCCACACCTAAAATATAATTTTTCTGCAGAACAGAAACTGCTAGGGACTTTTACCATTAATATTCGAAGGTTTTCTGTCGAATACAGATGGACTCAAAAGTCTTCGACTGTCAATTCAGATTCTCAATAATTACAGTATAGGCATATCACTTCTACCGTTCGAATTTTAGACCCTGTAAATAAAAAAATCGCAGCGTCAATACATCAACTAATACTTAATTAGGCAGAAGAAAAAGTGTCAGCTATAGGATCCATGGTTTTCATACAACCAGGATTTATTCTCTCTCATAACTCACACATTCCACCAATAAATTCAAAAAATGTCTTCCAATTGCTCCAGGTTGTCTGATGGGAGGAAATAACAACATACTGAACATCAGTTTCAGAATTTTCTAGCATGGACAAAAATAAAATAGTGTTTCATACAGTACAGTACATGATTGAGCATGCTTGACGATTTCCCGTCTGTTTTTTTTTTCTTTGAAAAAAAAGGTGGGGGATGCATTTTGCAAGAAATTGTTCAAATGTTCCACTGAGTTGACAAGTGCTCCGTTGAGGGCAGAAAAAGCATGATTGAAGAAAAGAAAAACGAAAAAAGCTTCCGCAAGTTTCAGCAGCATACATATATGAGGAAAACCAACACATTTTCCCCATAAAATGCTCTGATAGTTTTTTTCCGTCATCATCATCATCATCTTCTAAACCTTGAATAAGTAGTCGAGTACAAGCTCGGGGACGCCCCCCGGGTGGCCCGACTCAAGGATGCATAGGACCTACTGGCAGAGGGGGACGACCCTCGCATGGGCGCCACGGGGGCGGCTGTAGAGGCCGCCGGCGACGTGGATGACGACGTGGGATTCCCTCTGGCACTCTGCACTTTGCTACCTAAGGTCAGAGGCCTGTTGTCTCCGTAGGCAGACGGTGGTCTGTAAATGGTCTTGCCAGACTCTTCGTCCTCTATGGAAGACTGTCTTTCCATTGGTGCTGGTTGGTGACTGCTGGTGCTGGATGTGGCACCACTACTAGGTCCTACACTGCGTTCTCTGGATTGACTCCGCAGACGTTCCCGCAGTCTGGAGCCCAAACCCTGTTTCTGTGAGCAAAGGATACACTATCTGTACACAAATGTCCTCAAATTCTGGAATTATTTTGCTGTTATTCCAATGCATGAGTGTGTTATGCAATGAAAATTTGGTACTTTCCTGTTATCTCTGTACCTCATTCATAGACTGCACTAGTATACCAACCAGACAAATCTTTAGGACAAGTTTTAAATCACAACAACCTACCAGAAACTGTGAATTTTATTTTTCTGCATTCTGCTGAAACGGATTTTGGGAGGCGGTTAGGTAAAGTTAGGTTAGGTAAGGTTATGTTAGTTACAAATATATTTCAATTAACATAACCTGACCTAACCTAACTTTACCTAACCACCTCCCAAAATCAGTTTCAGCGGTTACCCAAAGAAAGCAGAAACTGATTTTGGGAGGTGTGGTTAGGTGAAGTTAGGCTATAGGTCAGGTTAAATTGGTCAGAGGGAAGGTAGAGAGATAACAGGAAAGTAGGTACAAAGATAACAGATAAAGTACCAAAAATTCTCCTAAAAGGTGATCAGCAGACCATTTCCTTTTGCAATGACACCATTGACCAGCTGCCTATAGATGGCACTATAGACCTCTAAGCAGTTTTGGACCCCAAGAACAGTTCTTGGGGTCCAAAAGTGTTAAATGGTTGGTGACCAACTACTCAATGGACACTGAATTGCTGCAGCTCTCATGCACAGTATAACCTACTTTCTTCATGGAGGAAGAGTCTCCTTGACTGGCCTCATCTTCTGCTGCTGTCCCAAGCACCTCAACAACTTCCCCAACTGAAACCATTTCTCCTGTGCTTCCAGTGTCACTGTATTCCCTGGTAAACACACATGACAATGAAGTGGAAATCTCACTTTTCTAATTTTCAAGATGCTGAGCTGACTATACCTAACACCAGCAGTTGTCCCAGACAAGTTGGATGGAGCAGGTGAAGGAGACTTCCTTCTCCTGCCAAATGAGAAGAGAGAATCTTTGGATCCTGTGCTGACTGGAACATCCACCCCTGGGCTTCCTGTACTGGTGACCATGGCCTGAAGAACAAGAACAGCCATTTGCATACTGCTTCTTTAGACTCTTTACCAATTCTGCTTTTGTGCTAGTTCTGTACAAGAAAATTAAGGACTGTAATTGCAGGCATGAATGTGTTTCTTTGTTATATAAGGTTGGATGAGTGGGGACCTGCATGCCAGCAGCAGCTACCATTCCTCCAGTTGGAGACTCTTCAATGCTCTTGGACTTGGTAAACATTTTCTTCAGGGCTGCCCCAACACCTCCTTTCTTCTTTCCACTGCCAGAATCAGTTCCTCCAGCAGCTCCTGCTGAGGTTCCTTGAGGCATCTCACTTTGAGTTGATATTCTGATTAGGAAGTGAACAGATCAGCTTCTTTTCTTGGTGATTTCAAAATGCAAGCCTGTTACCTGTCATAGGAAGGCTCTCTGTTCATTCTAGAGTTTCCAGGTAAAGTCCTGGTCATCCTAGTGTCTGAATGAGTGGACATCACATCATAGTCATCCAAAAGGTGATCATCAGAGCCCCACATTGGAGGTGCTGTTCTCAGACTCTGCACAATGAGTATTTGGTCTTACATATATTTTTGACACATGATAAGGCATAATAAACTAACATCACTGTCAACATCATTCCTGTAGTCAAAAGAAGCACTTTTGTTGTTCATTGGCCTGCTGTGAGACCTCAGGGACTTTGGGAGGGCTGACTCCATGTGGTCTTCCTCATCTATTGCTGAATGCGTTCTTTGGGTATACAAATATAGTTTATAGTGGCTCATGATGGAAAAAATATGTCCATAATCTTACCTTCTAAGAGACTCATAGCGTGATGAAGGACTAAGGAGGTTGTGGCCTCCACCAACTGCTCCATGCTTGGGTTTGATTCTATCTGCATCTTTTTTCAGCTTCTCCAGGCACTCAATGAGTCTTGAGAGCTCATTTTTCAAGAGTTGGTCATCCTTTTCTTTGTCATTGGTGGACTTGTTGTTGTTTGAGTTCTTGGCACCTTTGGGAACAGCTGTCAAAGGCTTGGAGAGTGTCCCAGTTTCATTCAAGTTCTCCAGGAATGTTTTCAGCTATTCAGAAAGCATTTGCAAATATATACTGGGAGAGATTTATGAGGGTTAAATCTCATTACCTCTGCTGAAGCGGAATCAATGCCATTGTTGAGATGGGCCCTCAGGTCAAATATCTCCTTGTCTGACCTCTCTTTGTCCCTGCGCAATTTGTCATTCATGATGCGCATTTTTGAGTGAGATTCTCTGATGTCAACCAAGTCATGCTGAACCTTTAACAATATAATTCAAGTACTTAAAAAACTGCTGTAAAGATTATTGGTCAAGTTTTATATACCTCTTCAACCCTCAGTTTTGTCTGTTGTTGCTCATGTTTGATTTGTTCATGCATCTCTTTTAGCTGTCTCCTACAATCTTCCTTTTCAATCTCAACCTGTTGGCACACACATTATCAAGAACATGATTTTAACCGGTGAAAACAAATTTCTTGTATACCTGATAAAGGGTTTCCCTCAGGCCATGATTGGCAGAGTTAGACTCTGACAACAACCTGTGCATCTCATCTCTCTCCTTTTGCCAAGCTAATTCAATCTTGGTCTTGAGTGCACTCAACCTTGTCCTGCCAGAATTCATCACCTTTTCTTCTTCAAGCTGTGAACTCAAGATAAATAGAGTTTTGGGATGAGAGAGTTTGAATTTATTAAACAACCTCATTGAAGGACCAAACGTCGACTTGTTAGAAGTCGACGGTTACTCGGGACAGTCGTCGGTACAGACTACTTTGGAAGTGTAAAAGGTAGGAACTTAGTCTGTTGAGTAGGAGGTCCCATCACTCCGCAAGGACCAGTTCCTGGATTTGATCTTGATATGTCTCTTCCATCTGCATTTTTAATGCATGATATTTCAAATGCCAACTCAGTAAAGTAGACAAATGCTAGCTTTCTTATGTTTATATTACAAAGCTGCTTGGGCTTCTTCATGCATTTCAAGTATATTTTCTCTTGTGGCATGTGTAGTGGTGATGCAAGTAGAGAGTCAAAAGATTTTCATTCATCAACAAACTTATACAGTCGAACCTCGTTAAACCGCCCCCCGATAAACCGCCACCCTCACCTCCCGCCAAAATTTTACCCCAAACAAATCTCCCCAATGTTGAAAGGATGGGGCACCCTTGATAGGCCGCCATCCGCCATCCGCCAACAATTTGCTGGCCACAAAACACCACCTGCCTTTGTTTTTTACCCCGTTAAACCGCCATTCTTTAAAATTTCTTGACCAAGGCTTTCCTTCTACTTTCTCTTCAAATTCTTTCACTCTGTACTTTTTCTTGAAAAAAGCAGCATTTTTCCTTCTTCCAAACATACTCTTCAGAGTTTAATTTTTTATCCATAAATCCTTGAATGTTATGGTCTGCAAGCACTCTTCAGAAACTCTTCTTACTCTCCAAATGATGTGCAGCTTTTTTTTAAATATCAAATTGTATTCAGATTGGCTGCAAAACATAATTATCTTCTTGCTTCCAACAAGAGATTCCTTCAAAATTTAGAATACTCCTGAAAGTTAAGCAGGGAATGTATTATTGAAATTTTTCACACATTTGTGGCTTGTTTGACAAATTCATGGATTCTTCCTAATATTTTAAAAATTTGTATAGATATTCTTTTACTGAAATCAAACCCTGCTGATGTTTGAAATGTATCACCACAAAGTTGTCAACATGCAAACAAAGGAATTTACATGGGTGTGCTGGGGTAATTTTTTGAAATAGTTTTAGTTTATAAAAATAAATAACCCATTCTATTGGACAAAAATTGAATGAATAATTTATATTTCAATCTTCATCAGCATACCAATTGGCAAGACATTTTAAATCATTATTGTTTGATGATCATCTGGTAGGGAGACTGCTGGAAGTTGCAATTACATACTGTACTTGAATTGTCATTTTCAGAAGTGTACAGGATCGGAAGCAAGGAATTTGAAGCAGCCCCTCTCTTTGTCTTTTTTCCTTTTTCAAAAAACTTTCTTTGAGTTAAAAATCTATCAGGGAATGCATATGAAGTTTTATCTTTCCAACCATCCTGGGACAAGAAAAATGTCATCTCACTTACAATGTAAAAAAAATAGTTTTCCTCTCCTTTATTTACTGAAATCAAACCCTGCTGATGTTTAAAATGTATCACCACAAAGTTGTCAACATGCAAACAAAGGAATTTACATGGGTGTGCTGGGGTAATTTTTTGAAATATTTTTAGTTTATAAAAATAAACCCATTCTATTGGACAAAAATTGAATGAATAATTTCTATTTCAATCTTCATCAGCATACCAATTGGCAAGTCATTTTAAATCATTATTGTTTGATGATCATCTGGTGGGGAGACTGCTGAAAGTTGCAATTACATACTTACTTGAATTGTCATTTTCAGAAGTGTACAGGATAGGAAGCAAGGAATTTGAAGCAGCCCCTCTCTTTGTCTTTTTCCTTTTACTAAAAATTTTTTTTGAGTTAAAAATCTATCAGGGAATGCATATGAATTTTTATCTTTCCAACCATCCTGGGACAAGAAAAATGTCATCTCACTTACAATGTACAAAAAATAGTTTTCCTCTCCTTCTCTGTAATCCTATGTTCTGTGTGCCATTGACGTATTCCACACCCCCCCCCCCAACCCATGACCCACCACCCTCGATAGACCGCCACCCTTGTTAAACCACCAAAATCTTGCTGCACAGATGTTGGCGGTTTAACGGGGTTTGACTGTACTTAGTTTTGGAAATTTGTTCTTTGAAATGCAAGTTCTATGAATGAAATTGGAATTGTCACCTGTATGTAAACTGCAAGAAAACTGAGTGTGCTGTTTTTGGGATTTGGGTCACAGTTTGGCATGAACAACCATTTTTTTCTTCAGGTTGCTCATCAACATTGGATGGTTTATTGAGGCTTCACATCACACATATGTTAAGCTATGAAAGGCATATATGAATACCTTATGCTCAAAGGTTTGTTCCTTGGCAGCCTTTCCTTCATGCCGGAGGTCTGAAATGGTCTTCTGTGCTCCATCCAGCATATCCCTGAAGGTATCTCTTTCTCTTCCTGCCTTTGAGAACTGTTGCCTCAATGTTGCAATCTCATGGTTGAGCTGCAAAATCCTTGAGTCATGCCTCATGCGCATTTGGCTCACTTCTGACTTGTGGGACTTCTCCATGTCTGCTATGCTGTTGATTAAAAACAAAAACAAAGATGAATATATAAGCATGAATGGTGATCCCTTTATTTAGTTAAAGTACTCTTGTTTCAGAGAACGGATCTCTTGTTCCAGTCTGGTTGTGTCACTGGAAATGCTCCTTGACTGGAAGCTGGACAACCTTTCAAAGTCCTCCAGCTTTTGCTTATTCACATCATTCTGTTGATACAAGATCAAAATTACCTAGTCCTCAGTTACGTAAATCCCTATTACTTCCCGTCTGGAGAACGGATTCGGACAGGTTGACTGAGACGTTGTAGAGAAGAAGAGAGAACTCAACCAGGTGAACCCGTCGGAAAAGGTCGAACTTCACCCTTTCCAGTTCCCATGAAGAACTGCTAAGCCTTTGTACCCTTTCTTCCTGCTCTTTGACTTTTTCCTGTACAGTAATGTCAATCACGCATGCTTTTTCATTATTTTTTTTAGCAGGATGTGTCCAGAGTTTACCTGGAGATCCAGCTTTTCTTTAATCCAAGAGTCCTGTCTGCTGTTGTATGTGTCTCTCAAAGTCCTCAGTTCACCTTCCAGTGTCTCATACTCTTGCTTGAGTTTGCTCAGGTCACTAAAAGGGTAAATGAAAGCTTTCATTGCTGCTTCTTGAGTTTGCAAAATCATTGTCTTCCACACTTGAGATTTGGCATGCTGGAGAGTGTGAGGCAGAGAAGCTATCTGGTGAGTTAGTCTCTCTCTCTGTTTGCTGACATCAGCCACACTTGAGGTAAAACATTCACAAACCTTGAGGACTTTGAAGCCTTGAGAGGTTTCCTTTGGTTTGGGGGGAAATGGGATAAAGCATTCAGTTCAGATAGGTTCTTTTTTTAGGGATTTCCTGAGGTTAAATTTATACTAGCTCACCCAGTTATATGCTCCTTTTCCATTGTTAACTGTGCTTTGACTACCACATAGTCCTCTTCAAGCAGGTCATACTTGGCATGAAGGTCCTCATACTCCTGTTTGTAATCAGCTACTTCCTTCTCAAGCTCTGCAGATGAGAGAAAATTCCAAATTTAAGGATTGTGATTTGTTGAGGTCATGGAATATTTTTTTACCCTCAATCTTGTGGTCAGTTTCTCTGCTGCTCTTGGACAAAATGGTGGATGGTCCTTCAGATTTGGACATTGTCTTCAGTCTGTCTATTTCACGCTCTTTAGCTCTTATCTCAGCATCCCACTTTTGATTTGCAGTCTCCAGACGCTTTTTCTCAGTCTTGAAACACAATTCAAAAAATATTTATGTGAGATTTTCTTGCAGAATTTTTAATTTGTCTAATTGGACCCACTCTGATGTCACCCTCCAGTGTTGAAATTTTGGAAGCATGCTCTGAGGTCAGCTTCTCAATCTCCTTCTTCTGTTTTGTCTTGAAGGATTTCTCCATGGATTGCATCTGGAATTTTTGAATTTCTATCATGCATTCTTCAAATAGAAAAAAACATTTTCACCTCTTTGATCTTTTCCTCAAGCTTGTCCCTTGCATTGGAGACTTCTTCTCTCAGTTGTCTGCTTTCTGTATCATATTTCTTCTTGAGGTCATCAAGTTTTTTGGATGCTTCTTCGCTTACCATGCGGTTCTTTGTAATTGAAGAAAGCATTTGTAAACATCAATCAAAATTGCTCATATCATGTGACTAACCTGCTGAGTCAGCTGCTTTTTCAAATTTTCGACCTCATCTTTGAGCTTTGTTCTTTCTCTCTCCTTGGATTTTTCCTCAGTCAGCTGAAAAGGCAAGCAGAATGAGTGAAATGTTTAGAAGAATTCAAATTCAAATTTCAGTTCACATGGGTTATACTGTTACACATGGACATCATGAACATATACAAGGGACAAGAGCAGCATGAAAATTTGCCTCACCCTGCTCAAATAACTCTTCTTTTTGGAGCCCTGTAAGGAATGAAATGATTGAATACATCACTGCACAGCAAACTAAACTAATTTCTGCTAAAAGTTAGTCAATCCTCCTGATTATTGAGACAAAATCAACTCACCTGTTTTTCTGTTTCCTTCACCTTTTGTTTCAGATCATAGAGATCATTCTCTGTCTCTCTGAGGACAGATTTCTTTTCTTCCAACTCTCTATCTCTTGCTCTGACCTTGTCTTCCAAGTTTCTCAACTGTTGATGGTCATTTTTATTATTTTATGATACTGTACTGGATATATTTGGGGGTTTTAAAGAGGATGAATGAACCTTATCTGATTGGGTGTCAGTTTCTTTGACTTTCTTGTGCAAGAAGTCCAGCTCTTTCTGAACTTCATCAAGCTTCTTAAGTGTTACTCTGTGGGCTCTTCTCTCAGCATCCAGGACTTCATTTGAGACAGTTGTAGCATCCCCTGCTGTAGTTCATAACAGAGTAAGATCATTTACCAATACATAATTTCAAATTTTGATGCTACCTTTGACACTGCCTCTTCTTTGGTTAACCGTTTTTTCCTTTTCTTCTTTTAGTTCTTTCTCAAGGGCCTCACATTTCTCTCTCAGCTCCTTCAGGGTGTTGGTGGACTTCTTCTTGGTCCCTGTGGTTTTCTTCTCTGACATTTGGTCATCTTCTTTGGAGGTTTCCAGGGCATGGGCCAAAGCAACTGTTTACAATAAATGTGTGCATCAACTCTTGGAAGTATCTCAGGTTTTTGGAGAAGTGCTGCCTACCTATTTCTGTCTCCAATTCTTCAATGTACTTTTTGAGTTCCATACGAGTTGAGGTCTCAACTCTCTTCTTATCACGGATGATTTCTGATATGTGTTTAGGCACCAGAGTTCCCAAGAGACTGGCAATTGCATTTTGTTGGTGAGCTGAAGGGGCTTCTTTGGACTCCAACACTTTGGACATCTTCTCTATTTGGTCATCCTTGTCTGCCAAGTCTGATTCAAGTTTCTCTCTCTTGAGTTTCAGGTCATCCAATTCTTCTTCAAGCTCTCGCTTCATACTTTGGAGTTGCTTCACCTGTGATGGAATATTCTTGTTGACCAGACACTCTAAAGAATTATTTTCATACCACTACAATAACGTTTCTCCTTTTAAAAAATTTTGACATTTAATAATCAGGGTCAGTTTGAAAAGCATTGTACAAAGATAGTGGATCTAATTTTTAACCCTTGGGCGGCAAGGTTGGACTATTTTTGCAAAATTTTGTAACACCTCAGGGCAGAAAATAAAAAAGGGCAACAGGGATTTTAGGACAAAGTCAGGGGAAAATCCAATGTTTTTTCTTTTTTCACAGAAAAATTTCATGGGAAAATGAAAAAAATCCTATGCTAAGCAATGGGCTTTTCTTGGATTAATCCCAACTTTGCCTCAGCCCACCTGGAAGGTCTTTTCTGACCTTCAGAAAAATTAAAACGCCACAGCATACAAAAATAATCCAATTTCGGCCGGTGATGGGAAAGAACCCTCTGCCGTTCAAGGGTTAAAGATTAATAGAAACTATTTTTTAAATTTAAGCCTAACAGATTTTAATGTATCTTTTAGCTTTGATCATACTTTTACTCAAATTAAGCCATCATTCCTTTATGACAGGCATAATTTCTAAATAAAATGAGCATAATTTATTCAATTATTCAATTGTGTTACCATTGCATTTTTATCTTCAGCTGCTGCAAGCTTCATCTTCAGAGACTTGACTTCTTCATTCAATTGGATCCCTTTGATTTGCCAGTCATCTTCAGCAGCTGAAAAGGCTGTTCCTGTGCTGCTGACAGACCCTCTTCTTCCAGCAGATGCTGATGGAATAATACATGCAAAAAACTGGTTTCATAAAGAAGAAAAACAAAAACACTTCTTGCAGGGATGACTCACCAAGTTTGACAGCAAGTCTGCGATTTTCATCATTCATCTTCTCATTTTGATCCTCAAGTTGCAAATTTTTAGCCCTTAGGATGGCAGCTTCTTGTTCCACATGAGCAAGTTGACGCTTGAGGTCAATTGTTTGTTCACTGTCTAAAGATCTGCGTGATGAAAGTGAAATTGATTGAAACAGTGTTGAGAAATTTGACATTATTATTGTGCTTACTTGCTTCTGGATGACAAATTTTTGCCCCCTGATTTCTTGGACTTGAGTGAAAGTTCAGTCTGAACATTTTCCAACTCCCTGTCCTTTTCAATCAGCTTTCTTCTCAAATCCGCCATTTCTTCTTTGAGCAGAAATTACAGTTCCGCTAGAAGTAACAGTCGTCTACACGGGTTCTACCGCCGGAACTAAGAACTTGGACGTCTTCAGAAACTCAGGTCCCGACTACTCGCTCACTCAAGTGCAACGTCTGACAGAAATTCTGAAGTCAGTTTGTCCACTTTCTCTCTGAGGATTTTAACTTCTTGCTCATTGAGTTCCAGTTGGAGTTTCATGTCCATTGGGTTATGGTCTTCCTCTTCTTCTTCTTTAGGCGGTTCCTGCATCTCTCTGCTTCTTTGTCTCACTGTGAGATTTTAATGTGACAATGGAAAATTTACTTCCAAATGGAAAATTTGAATAGGAGATCCTCTGATTCGCACCTGCTTTGCTTTTAACTGCCATCTTCTTGATCTGCAGGGCTAGAGCTTCATTTTCTTCCTCTGCTCTGGTCAACTTCTTTCGCAGCTCTTCAACCTGAGATATTTACAATGAACTTTTATTTTTATTTATGTGGAAGATTGAATAACTTGGCTAAGAAGACCAAGAATATCTTTGTATTCTTGATTTGAGGCCACTTTCTGGACCATCTTTTCAAATGGGTTCTTCTGAAAATTTAAGATTGGGTTTCATTTTCTGAGATGAGAATGCATTTGATGGAAAATAATAGTGAGGATAGTTTAAAAGCAGCCAAACTTTAAAATTTGTTTTGAGTCTCATAATGGGAATTTGGCACAACGCACTTCTGCTTCAGCAAACTGAAGTTGCTCTCTGAGATCAGCTTCCCTTTCCATAGTGTCTTGAACTTCCCTGAGGAGTCTATCTCGCTCATCAGTAGCTAAACCCTGAAAAAAAGGTATGCCGATATTGTGTTGATAATTCAAGGAGGGCGACCTATTTTTCTTTTTTTTTTAACCTGAGAATCCTTTGGTCTTTTCCTGGGTTCAGTGGACGGTTTGTTTTCTTTGAGCTGGTCATTCTCAGCCCTGAGTTTCTGGCTTATTTCCCTGGCAAGGCGTAGTTCCTGCTCCAGCTCCTTTATTTTGTCAGTTCTGCAGTAGATTATAATGGTATACTGCAGTAATGCACAGTTAAAATCACCCCAAATAAGGAAAAATTGGAGCATCAAAAATGCGCAATTTTGTTGGGTAAATTGTGGGTAATGCTCATTTTAACATTTCAATTCCCAACTCCAAGTTTGAATCACAAAGAATGGCCCATATTTCTATATGTACTGCACAAATAGTAAGGTGTATAGTTTGAAAAGCCATTTGTTTGCTTTTAGAAAAGAATTTATGCTATGAAATGTTTCAACTGTGTAACTGCAGAAGTCATAGTATAGGTTCAATCCCATCCAAGTACAATTATCCCATCAGGCTCATCTTCATTTTATTATTTTCAGTGCAACATTGTAATGTAGCAAAAAACCAGTTATATATGATTTCATGAGAAAATAATCTAGGAAAATGTCCATGACTTTGCTAAGATGAATGTTAATTATGAAACTGTGTGTAAGGCATAAGTAGAATGTAGCCATACAAATTAGAATTACTTCTCTTTCATGACTGGGCTGAGGTTGCTGGGCTTGCCAGAGGACTGAAGTGAGGCCAGGCTCTGTTCCAGATCAGCTTTGTCTTGGTCTACTTGTTCCTTCTGCCTCTCCACTTTCTTGAGCTGAAACTGGAGGATTCTGCAATTCTTGGCAGTTTGTTCCAGCTCCCTTTTCAGGTCTCTGTATTCCTCTGCTTGGTCTTCCCTGAAGAGTCATGGCAGAATTGGATGATTTTGTTAGAGAAAACTTCCCTTCCCTAATTGAATCTTTTAATTGGAAAGTATGATCCTAGGAGAATACCACTCATTTGAATTGCCTATAGGATCATATGCTGTTTCTTGTTCAAAATTTGCAGAGGTTTGGGAAAATGCAAAACAGTTGGTTCTTCCAAGAAAGGTTAAGAAGTATATATAGTTGCCTGAAATTGTCATGCAGCTCCTCAATCTCATGCTCCATGTCTTTGACCTCTCTTCTCAGCTCATCATTGGAATCCATAAGCTCACTGCAAAGAGTTTCTGCAGCTTTCAGTTTCTCCTTCAGACTATCAGCCATTTTCTGCAAGAGGATGCAAATATATATTTTTTTAATTTTAACGCAAAGTCAACAAGAGTTATTTATTTTACACACCACAGACTCTTTTCCAGACTCAATTTCTTTCTGCAATTCATTGACTTGACTTTTCATGGTGGTATTCTCTTCACTCATGTCATTGAATCTTCCTTGGAGATCTGAGAGCTTGTGCTTCAAAGTTGCCAATTCTGAAGCCATGAGTCTATTTTCCCTGTTTGGGGCATTAGAGGACATTGATGTTGGAGTTGGTGGAGTTAAAGGGGAGACCTTGTTGATCTGTTCCTGTTTCTGCTTTTCCAGCCTGAAAACTTGAGCTCTCAAGCGCTCAACCTGAAAAAAATTTCAAAAATAGTTACCAACCCCCAAGAACAAACTGCATGCCAAAATAAAAAAAATCTTGCAACAGTGTGGGCACAGTTGTAGTTTGGTCCCAGATATGCTTGTTGTTATCTTGAAGTGCTGAGTATGATAATTTTAAATTCAACTTAAGAAAAGTGTTGCCATTGGCTTCTGTGGCACATTGTTTTGTCACATACTGAAAAAATGAACTGTGTTGTCACAAAGTAAAGTTCTGANCTTTAATGTCAAGGCGATCTTCATTGTCAGCAGATGTGCCCAAGATGGCGGCCTTGATTCTTGAACCTGCAGAAGTCTTTGAGTCCAGGGCTGATGAGCGAGTGAGTTCACGTTGCAGACTGTCTTTCTCTGAAGTCAGTTTGTCCACTTTTTCCCTGAGGATTTTAACTTCTTGCTCATTGAGTTCCAGTTGGAGTTTCATGTCCATTGGGTTATGGTCTTCCTCTTCTTCTTCTTTAGGAGGTTCCTGCATCTCTCTGCTTCTTTGTCTCACTGTGAGATTTTAATGAAACAAGAAAAATTAACTTCCAAATGGAAAATTGAATAACAGATCCTCTGATTCGCACCCGCTTTGCTTTTAACTGCCATCTTCTTGATCTGCAGGGCTAGAGCTTCATTTTCTTCCTCTGCTCTGGTCAACTTCTTTCGCAGCTCTTCAACCTGAGACATTTACAATGAACTTTTATTTTTATTTTTGTGGAAGATTGAATAACTTGTGGAGCTTGAAAGAAAAAATTGGATTAAGAAGACCATCAAGAATAGCTTTGTATTCTCGATTTGAGGCTACTTTCTGGACCACCTTTTCAAATGGGTTCTTCTGAAAATTTTAGATTGGGTTTCATTTTCTGAGATGAGAATGCATTTGATGGAAAATAATAGTGAGGATAGTTTAAAAGCAGCCAAACTTTAAAATTTGTTTTGAGTCTCGATCATAATGGGAATTTGGCACAACGCACTTCTGCTTCAGCAAACTGAAGTTGCTCTCTGAGATCAGCTTCCCTTTCCATAGTGTCCTGAACTTCCCTGAGGAGTCTATCTCGCTCATCAGTAGCTAAACCCTGAAAAAAAAGGTATGCCGATATTGTGTTGATAATTCAAGGAGGACGAACTATTTTTTTTTCAAACCTGGGAATCCTTTGGTCTCTTCCTGGGTTCAGTGGACGGTTTGTTTTCCTTGAGCTGGTCATTCTCAGCCCTGAGTTTCTGGCTTATTTCCCTGGCAAGGCGTAGTTCCTGCTCCAGCTCCTTTATTTTGTCAGTTCTGCAGTAGATTATAATGGTATACTGCAGTAATACATAGTTAAAATCACCCCCAAATAAGGAAAAATTGGAGCATCAAAAATGCGCGTTTTTGGCTTGTAAATTGTGGGTAAAGCTCACTTTAACATTTCAATTCCCAGCTCCAAGTTTGAATCACAAAGAATGGCCCATATTTCAATAAGTACTGCACAAAAAGTAAGGTGTATTATTTGAAAAGCCATTTGTTTTCTTTTAGAAAAGAATTTATGTTATGAAATGTTTCAACTGTGTAACTGCAGAAGTCAGAGTATAGGTCCAATTCCATCCAAGTACAATTTTCCCATAAGGCTCATATTAATTATAATATTTTCAGTGCAACATTGTTTGTAGCTAAAATCTAGTTATATATAATTTCATGAGAAAATAATCTAGGAAAATGTCCATGAATTTGCTAAGATGAATGTGAATTATGAAACTGTGTGTAAGGCATAAGTAGAATGTAGCCATACAAATTATATTTACTTCTCTTTCATGACTGGGCTGAGGTTGCTGGGCTTGCCAGAGGACTGAAGTGAGGCCAGGCTCTGTTCCAGATCAGCTTTGTCTTGGTCTACTTGCTCCTTCTGCCTCTCCACTTTCTTGAGCTGAAACTGGAGGATTCTGCAGTTCTTGGCAGTTTGTTCCAGCTCCCTTTTCAGGTCTCTGTATTCCTCTGCTTGGTCTTCCCTGAAGAGTCATGGCAGAATTTGATGATTTTGTTAGAGAAAACTTTCCTTACCTAATTGAATCTTTTAATTGGAAAGTCTGATCCTGGGAGAATACCACTCATTTGAATTGCCTATAGGATCATATGCTGTTTCTTATTCAAAATTTGCAGAGGTTTGGGAAAATGCAAAACAGTTGGTTCTGCCAAGAAAGGTTAATAAGTATATAGTTGCCTGAAATTGTCATGCAGCTCCTCAATCTCATGCTCCATGTCTTTGACCTCTCTTCTCAGCTCATCATTGGAATCCATAAGCTCACTGCAAAGAGTTTCTGCAGCCTTCAGTTTCTCCTTCATACTATCAGCCATTTTCTGCAAGAGGATGCAAATATTTTTTTAAATTTTAACGCATAGTCAACATGAGTTTTTTATTTTACACACCACAGACTCTTTTCCAGACTCAATTTCTTTCTGCAATTCATTGACTTGACTTTTCATGGTGGTATTCTCTTCACTCATGTCATTGAATCTTCCTTGGAGATCTGAGAGCTTGTGCTTCAAAGTTGCCAATTCTGAAGCCATGAGTCTATTTTCCCTGTTTGGGGCATTAGAGGACATTGATGTTGGAGTTGGTGGAGTTAAAGGGGAGACCTTGTTGATCTGTTCCTGTTTCTGCTTTTCCAGCCTGAAAACTTGAGCTCTCAAGCGCTCAACCTGAAAAAAATTTCAAAAATAGTTACCAACCCCCAAGAACAAACTGCATGCCAAAATAAAAAAAATCTTGCAACAGTGTGGGCACAGTTGTAGTTTGGTCCCAGATATGCTTGTTGTTATCTTGAAGTGCTGAGTATGATAATTTTAAATTCAACTTAAGAAAAGTGTTGCCATTGGCTTCTGTGGCACATTGTTTTGTCACATACTGAAAAAATGAACTGTGTTGTCACAAAGTAAAGTTCTGAGTGTTAGGCACCAATAATGTACCTTGTAAACTGCCAAATATTGATTGTATTTCATCATATGCTTAAGAATTTGGGCTTCAGCTAGTTGCATGCTTGATTTTGAAGTATATTTCGCAAGTAAAGACAAACCTCACTCTGCAGACTTTCCATTCTAGCAGGTTCAGTGCTGCTGGGATTTTGACTGCCACCTGTGATGGTAGTCTCTGTAGCAGTAGTAGTGCCAGACATGGTAGTTGCATCATCATCAACAGCGACAGATCTGCTCTTCTTGACTTGTATGATGAAAGCAACATCAGGACTGGCTGTTTGATTGTTGTCATCATCATCATCCAAGTTTGGGGAAACTTCCCTGAGACCAGTTATTTTAAGTTTTGTCCTAGATTTTTTCTTGGTTTTCTTTTTGGACTCCTCTGTGCTGGTGGATCAAAGTAGCAAGTGTTATTTTATATTTTCATATTTTGAAATTGAAAATGAAATAAAATTGAATCTTACACAGGAATTGCAGGAGTCTTTGGAGGGGGATTCACAGTGACCTTGACTGAGCTTGCAGATGGTTTTGGTGGCTCTGGGTCAGGTTCTTTTGGCGGCCTTGAAATGTCTTCACCATTCAATGCAGTGGCCAGACTGGCATCATCAGAGTCAGAGTCATCATCCTCCTCTTCCTCCTCATCACTTGCTGCTGTGTGGAATGAAGCCACTGAGACTGTGGACCAGGATTTACTGAGGTCCAACAAGCCATTTTTGTCTGTTACAGCTGGGGCCACTGGGCTGGGTGTGGGACTTGGACTGGGGGTCCTGGATGGGGTTGCATTCTCCACAGACAGGCTCCTGCTTGTGAAGGTTTCTGCTGGAAGCTTCTCAGGCTTTTTCACCTGATGATCCTTGTACTCTCTGATGCAGAAATGTTTTTCATATCTACCTGCTAGTATCTTCATCAGAATACAGTGATGCCTAAGGACCACTTATGTCATTACAATAAATTGTGAATCAAAAGTCAAAAAAGCAGGTTAACACACAAAAACCTGAACTATTTTGAACTTGAAATGTCCTGAAAGATTTTAACTTAGCAATTTGACAGAAAACATCAATTGAAGTGAAAGTTTTAGGCACCACCGTAAATGAAGGAATTGCAAAGGTATATGATTACCTGAAGCACCTCTTGCACCTGGTGGGGAATCTGACCTGAGGGTGGAAACCCAGTGGGCAAAGGGGGTCTTCCCCCCGGGGCATTTATTGACCTCCTCGTACCAAAGGTTTAGCAGCAGAAACCTTCAATACCCTGCACAGCAAATCATTTTTAGGATTCAGAAGAAAAACAACTTGAAAAGAATGCACTTATATACATTACCTGGGTTTTTCAATATTCAACGCAAAAGTCTTCACCCCGGGGGGATTTTGGGCTCACAACTTCAAAAAAGTCATTTTTCACATGACCAAAATCAGTGATTGAAAAAAATGGGAAATTTTCCTGGCCAGCAGATGGAATGAGACTTTGTTAACTTTTGAATGACTAACTTGGAGCTTTTATTTTGAGCAACAGACAATAATGCAGTGCACACCAAGCCAAAGAAATTTTCTTTTGGAAAGATATTTCAACAACTTCAGGAACATCCATCCCAACCACAATGAATACTCAAGTTGATGGATGGTCCAAAGTATTTTTCAATGTTTCTGGAATAGAGTTCTTTGAGAAGCACCTCTCTGATTCAGATCCTCATAAATCACTGGTTTAAAAATAACTCATAGGAATCCTTTGCTCATTTGCTTAAGCTTTTCTTCAAGTGTAGACTCAATTGGACAACTTCCTATCCTGTCTCACCAATTGATATCTCAAGGCAACACTCACATATCAGCACTAATATCCCAGAAATATTATCATAATAAAATAACTTTTTTCATTGAAATTCAGTTCTTTAATCTGGGAAGTTTTTTCTATAATTAGGATTTCCAATTACTGTATAAAATATTTCATTGCATGACAAAATGGTTCCTTATAACTATGTGAAAATAATGCCCAACTATATGTAAGAAAGAATTAAAAGCAGAAAAAGATGACTGACAAATTATTTAATAAACCACCTATATTCTCTTCAATAAAGAAAGAAGTTTGACCTTCAATTAATTGTGGCTTTTCAATTGATTGATGCAATCAATGTTGGATGGAGAAACATTCAAACTATTTCAGGACTCTTACAACGCGATATATGCCGCTCAAATTAGCATTCCTGTGCATAGGACCTTTCGGATTCTCAAAGACGGGGGCGACACCTGTTCACCATTCCCGAAAATTTTGAAATTCATTTCCGCACTCCGCAGTTTGCTCTGAGCCAAAACAACGTCTGGCAACCGGTGGAATGAAAGTATTCCGCGTGTTCCCTTGTCTCGCAAATCAACCCCCCCCCCCCCCCAAACTGTTCTTTTCTTACCCAACCCCCCCTTTCTGAATACAAGTACAGCGTACCTTGGTACAGTTTTGCGCATAAATTATTCTGCGTTTTATCTGGCAGAAAAAGAATTTTTTTCAAGACACGTGCAGGAATTCTTGGAGAGCATTACGTAACTCTGGACATCGGATATCTTGGAAACTCGATCATGAAACCGGCTTTGTTTCCATTTTATGCACACACACAAAAAAAATTCGAAATACCGGTATATCATCATTGAAGAAAAAGAAAATTCGACATTCGTCGTTGTACTGTATATACACAGCAATATAGACAAGTTTCGAAAATATAAATGAGATAAAATCACAGCAGCAAAAAGACATTGGCACAGCAAGAAATTCCATCAATAAATACACGAATTAAGAATTTGGTAAAATTTGATTCGAAGAAAAACACATGACTCATCAGTGCTGCATGGTGTCTATTTCTTATTACTACTGTGGAGGATGAGATTTTATTTTATTTTTTTCTCCATACGAATAAATTTACTAAACAAGACCCTCCTGTTAATCAGCATAATTGATGCATAAATTCACTTCAACAATCTGATAAACATAATACTGTACTTTTTACTGTACTTAGATGATGTAGACGCTCTTTCCATTTTTAGAAATTTTAGTTTCTTGTTGGATACTTCACTTGCTTGTTAAATAATTACAACAATTGAACAACAGTTATTACTGTACTAGCTGTACTAACAAAATTTTTTAAAAGTTTTTAAATCTTTATATTTTTCTTATACAGTAAATCAAGATCCCATACAAAGAGACTGTACTGCATAATCCATTCCAGAATATCATCTTTCAGTGTTGGAGTTGATTCTACTGGTTTCATGTTGAAATGTCTCGTTGAGTGGTTTTTTCTGTGAATTTTGTTCTCCGAAATTATTAAGAGAATTAAATTGTATAAGAAAATAGCTCGTTATTCGTCACATTTTTGACAATGTAACTTTTTTTGATTATACGGATTCTTAATTTTTTTAAGGCTCACTCCTGTGGACAATTTGTTGCTTCCATCTTTATTCATTTTTTGGCACTTTTTATTCTTCAAACACTCCATTGGCTGTTCAGACAATTATGGATAATATTTTAACATTTCTCTTGAAATTTCTTTCGACATCTGATCTCTTGAGGCTTGGTTTCCTGTTTTGCAGATGTGCACAATAATGCAGTGTAGTCACTATGCTACATTTTCTCTTCTCGTCGGGATTCGACTCATCACGTTTTTTTCAGCTGCAGAAAATTGCAGACACACGTTTCGCAATTTTCATACAAGAATCGGAACAAGATATATGACACGCAAAACTAAAGAAGAAAAAACTAAATAAACGTATCCCGGAATTTTCTTCCAAACAGGAAAAAGTTCAACAAGAACGAATCTCTCTCGCAGACTCTGGAAAGCGAACTGGGCGCGTGTTTCGTTGACTGACTTTCTGCGTGCAGAAAATAAAAAGGAGGGCGTGAAAAAAGGAAGAGGACCTGGGGTAGACGAAGTATATAGGAGGAGGAGAAAAAAAAAAGGTGATGATAATAACAATAATATTCCCTGTACGTGTGTGTGTGTGTATGTATGTGTTTGGGGGAGAAGAGAGAGAACCTGTGCCAAAAAATCCGGGTTCTTT